TTCTCCCTTAGACCTGCCACCAGGCATTAATGTGTAAAATTGAGCTCCCCTTCCTATCAAGACCAGTTAGTCCACTTCTCAAATTGTCTGGATAAAACAGCACCAAAGTGTTCCCTTCCCCTGTGGAATTCAGTGGAAACAGACATCAGGCTTCAGCTGTGAAGTGCAAAGCCACCATGTCAAAGCCGCATCATGTTAACATCAAGACAACTGAAATCCAGTGAACAGCTGCAGAGCTTCCTCTGCACAGCTGACTGATGGTCATATGGAGAAAAATTGTGTTTAAAAACTGCGACAGATGATGCAGCAGTCAGCGTACATTATCCTGGGTGAGCTCCCCTGGGCGACAGATGGGAGGGGAAGTTGAACTTCACAAAAGCCAGATCGGGGATTAACGGCGTTATCTTCTACATTCAGCATATTATTTTAAAAAAAACCCCTTCATTTAAAGCTGAATTTTTACATGGCACACGTGATTATGTCTGATGTTTAACAGGCTGTACGTAAATCAATTAGGAAGAATTTCGATGTAGGTAATCCATCAGTGACAACCTGAATGTCTAAATTAAGGAAAAGGGCTTGTGTGAAGGCAACACTATACAAGGGATGTTAAATAGAAACCCTCCTATATAATTACGGGTTGTAGGGCCCCTGCTGAGCTAGCATGTCGACCTAAAGTGGCCACAGCAAAGGCAAATGAAGGGTCAGGTCCAGTAAAGGGTATATTTAGTCTGTCGATGGCAAGCTTTTTAAAAACAACACACCCTTTCCCTGAGTCACATGGCTCTGTAGGATTAGAAAAAAACGTCCCTATAAACATACAGACCAGCAGAGTTTTCTAACTAGAGGAACAAGGAGTGCTGTGTGGTGTTCCCCGTCCTGCTACTAAATATGCCTCTTTAGTTTAACATGAAAACATAATCACCAGGCGCTCTTTCTTTTAATTAAAAGGAGAAAATAAAGGAAGGAGTTTTACAATTGACATCTGCAAAAGGCTAAAATACAATGCAGGAAATTCTGTTTTGAGGATCCTCCATAAAAGCGGCTGCTTCTGCACGCTTCTATGTCGTCATCCTTACCAGATTAAAACTGTCAGACGGCTGCATGAGCAGTTAGCTGAAGCTTGGCAGTTCATATTTGTCATGAATGTGTAAAATGCTAAATATTGCTAATAATGAACACATAACAACTGAAGACATTTTTTTAAAATCTTGATTGTCATAACTAAGTGCTAAGTTTCTCCTTGGCTGGAACACAAAGGCACGCTATTGAAAAAGTTTAAGAATAAAGCAATTGGCTACTCTGTAGTGAAAACATTAAACACTTTTAGAATTCATATTATAAAAATAAGCTGAGTAACAACTAGTGTTGTAGTCAAAGACCACACTAACCAGGACCAAGACATAGCCAAGACCACAGTGCTCCGAGATCAAGACAATACCAAAACATTTAGGGATCGAGACAGAGTCAAGAGCAGAAATATCCATGAAAAATCATCATCTCTGTGTGAAGTGGGCGTGTCACTCGCTTACACCAAAACACTGGGAAGGATAAAAATGACATTTTTAATGAGTTGACGTTATTTGTTTATTTAGAAAGTGGCATTTCCTTCCAATCACTGTAATGACGTGGAAAATAGCCTATCAGTGGTGGTCTTGATTTAAAATCTGAGACCGAGACAAGACAGAGGAAAAATGCTTTTGATTCTGAGACGTGACAGAGACCTTCAAAAAGTGGTCTCGAGACCGATTTCAAGTACTACAACACTATTAACAACTAACGCAGAGCTGTGAGAACAGTCTTTTTCACCCTGAAGATTGTAAACATAAACATTTTCACTTAGAGATTTAAATATGATTGATTTCATGCTTTTTATTTTATTCGCAGGACAATGCTTGTTTTTCCATCCTTTTTTTTTTTTCCTTTTCTTTTTTTAAAAAGAAGATATTTCCTATAGGACGACAACTCAAACTTTCCAAGCTAAGCTGATCTGCTGTGAGGATGCTGCATTCTGCCTTAACGCACAACTAAAAGCCCTCGCTTTTTGTCACTTATCTTACTCGCAGACCATACAGTCAGGGGTCATATAAAAACCACCGCTCACAGCAGAGTAATAAACCTTTCACTTGATGTCGTTTCCTCCAGGCTGCTGCGATGCCAGGGAGGCCTTGGGGCGTATAATGTGGGACTATTTTTGGAAGCTGCGAAAGCCCAGCAGAAGGTCTTGTGGTTCCCGGCTGAAGGCCTCGCGGTAACAAGAATGTGAATGGTAGTCTCATTGGTAGTAGCTTTTATAAACAGCAATATAGCCGAGTGCAGGTGACTTCAGCCCCCAGAGTGAATCTTGAAGTCTGCATTTTCAATCAACTGACGAGGAAGGACATATCTGAATATGATTGCCCTAACAGATTCATTTGACGCACTAATGAAATAAAACGACAGTAAAATAAAGAAACAAAACTCAGTCTTTTATATTACAGTTACTAAGCTTTCCCACCAGTCAGGGCACATTTAAAGAGGCTGTAAACATCACTAAAAACCTTCCTATATTTTCCCCTCTCCTTTCTTCCTTTAAGAAGGACTCCTTTCTCTCCTGCTTTTCTCCCAGCACAGTCTTCAGCAGGCACTGATTTCATGGTGGTAATTTTGGTCCGGCAGAGACAAAAACCTCCTTTGGAGCGCTGTGTGAAAACTCAGCCCATCACCCACAGGCTGCCACAACACTAACAGTGTGTCCCCCTGAACTTGGCATACCAGGAGATAAAACACTAATTTCACCGTTCCCTTCACAGCGCACAGAGGGGTAAACAACACAAAGGCCGGTCTTAAAACTTGAAACAGTCATCACGCAGACATCTCGTGATGCGGCCGACAGATTTAGGGCACACTTCTGCCCTCATGGAAATTACAACGGAGAAAATCAGGTAAACGTCCATCACAAGAGTAAATCAAGAGAAATAATGGAAGGTCTTCTTAAATCCCTGAACTCCGGGAAACAGGTGTTGTCGTCAGCTAACCATTAACCAAGCCCCTTCTTCCTTAGTTACAGTTGCTATGCAGGCCAAGCATTCCTGCACAGCACATATGCAGTTTACAATAACAATGGCAGATTAAATGATTAAAATTAAAATTAGTTTTGAAACAATAGGGCTTTGATTTGAGACTGAAGTAAACCGAGTCAGGCGTCTTTATTTCTCACTGACGGAGGGCAATATGTTGGCTCAGTGTATTTTTGTTAAGTCGAAAGCTAGCTAGCAGCAAACAGAATAGCTATCGTTACTGACCAAGTGACAATTTAGCACCCAAGCAGTCAATGTGTTTAATAGAACTATGTTTTTATAAATATAATCTCTGTGTCTGGAACTCTTTGTGAGCTACAGATATACTCCTTGGCATTGGAAGTTAAGTTAGCGTACTTACTGTTATAGATGGCACTCTGGTTAGCCAAATATCAGAGATGCTCTGATGCAGGGGTGGGCAACTGGCGGCCCCCATCAACCCTCAACGTGGCCCTCGGGTCAATTTTTACATATCAATTAATTGGAAACATGACAAAATCTGCCGTGAAATCATGAAAACCAGAAATATGTCCATAATAATATTTGATCACTGGTATATGTTGAGTTAAATTGGAGACATTATTGACTGTAAATCGTTTTTGTATCCTACAATTTGGCCCCCAGGCAGTGAAAATTAAATGAATGTGGCCCCTTGCTGTGACCAAAGTTGCCCATCCCTGCTCTGGTGTATCTGTTAGATATCAATATCGACTGATATTTGCCCTGTTGACAGACATCAGCCCATCATCAAATATTGTGGCGCCGATGTCTGTAGCCGATGTGTATCCGTTCTGCAGCATCAATTTAACGCTGATAAGCTCGTATACCTAGCTGTTTATTCGGAGAGTTTTTTTTTATTATTGGGCAGAAGACGTCACCTGACATCCAGTCTGCAAGACATGTTCCAGTGATATTGCAAGAGGAGGGAATATAAAAAAAAAATGAAAAATTTATCAAATTACAAGGCCCCTTGGAAAACCAGACACCTAGCAGAAATTAGGGCTCTGCTTGATTCTTTTATTCTGTCGGTCCAATCAAATGTGGCTGTTCAATACAAAGCTGGACCAATTTTTTCAAATCAGCAGAGTAGAAACTCCTATATCAGCCCACATGAGTCTCAGGTGTTACCTTTAAGACGCATGTGTCTCAGAGCTTTCTTTAAGCTAAAATAATAAATCACAGATATTTGACTGGTCACTTGAGGTCATCACAAGGTCTTTTAATTCAGACTCTTGTAAGGCAGACTGAGCTAAAATTGTAGTGGTGGGTGGGGGGTGGGGCAAACACTCAATCCATTACTTTACTCTGGTGTGTTTGGTTTTTAAAAAGGGTACACAAAGAAACACCCTCTCTATGCGAGTCGCCATCACATTGTTTCAGTTTGGGAGAAATGTCAAGTTGGAAAAGACACTGTTGTGCCTTGTTACAGTTGCTTAGCTATGAGGGGACAATCAATGTTTGGAGGAGCGCTTTCAAAAACAGTGAACGGCAGAGAAAAGGCACAAAGCAAAGCTGGATGTCTGAAAGGCCACTGAAAGCAAGCAGCTGCGCATGTATACAACGTTGACCAACAGCTCGCTTCCAACAGGTATAAAACAAATGAATCAAAACTTGAAGAAAAAAAATAAGGAAACGTGACGAACTGATTGGGTAAAAAGAACAGCATCAATTAAAAAAAAAAAAAAAAAAAAATCATACTTTGCACCAAAAGCACCCAAGCCACGCAGAATGAAATCAGAGTTGCATTGCCCAGGTGTGGTCATGCAAGGGGATTATTTAAAAAAAGAGGATCAAAGCCCTGAGGTGGTTACAGGGGGGGGGGTGTTTGTAGAAGCATGCAGCATTCGTGTTGAAGCATGCAGGGCTGCTGAGCAGCTCAGTATCGGTCTGCAAAGCAAAAAAAAAGAGGGGGTTGGGAGTGAGAGGAGTAGAGTTTCTGACCTGTGGCTCCTTACAAGATGCGACGCTCTTCCTCCGGAGAGAATTATAAAATCCTCAAGCTAGGGAGGGGGGGGGAAGAAGACAGAAAGATCAGACAAGACAGTAATGTAGGGTGTGTGTGGTTGAAGGAGGGAGAAAGCAGTGTGTGTATTTGTGTGTGTGTGTGTGTGTGTGTGTGAACATGGTACGCTGTCTAGTCCATGCTTAGACAGATAGGATGTTGAATCAATGATAACACATGTTGCACAATAAATCAACCATTAAATAAAACATTTACACAACCACAAGTATCTTTTCATCCGTCCACACACACATCAATATGCAAATGAGTTAGATAAGCATTCTGGGAAGGACAAAATAATTACAAAGTGACATAAATATCCAAAGGCCTCTAAGCCGCTGATATCATATGATGTCTGTCGGGATACTGTGCTAACTTTTTCATAACCAAGGACACAGGAATGGAGAGCAGCCAAATGATAAACATTAGCTTGTGTGAGGAACCTGAGGTCTGTGCTGCTGTATTCATTTCCTCTTCCACTTCGTTCTCTACTGAAGAGGTTTGCCTGTGTTAGAAGTCTGTCTGAGATATTGGAGTACAAATTCAAGACTGTCAGCAGCAGCCATGTCCGTGGATCAAGCAGATGTAAATACAGAGAAAACCCTCTCGGTTCAGCCCTGTTGAATTATGTCTGCTCTATATGTGGGTTAATCCCAGGAGAGGTCAGCTACAGACAATCCTTAAATCTGCCCAACTTTAATATCAAGTTGCACAGTTTGTAAAATGATCAATTTGACATTGAAAGGCGGAAGAATGTGGCTAAAATGCAACAAGTTTCTTCTTTTTAACACAGCTATCCTACTTTATCAAATTAATGTTTTTTTTTTTTTTTGTATGCCTTCATCCACCACAAAAATCGTAGTTCAATCTGAAGATGCCCCCAAATTTGGGGTGCTGGATGTCCTAGTGGTTACCTTGCGCGCCCGAAGTACGGAGGCTGTAGTCATCACAGCGGTCGAGGGTTCTAATCCTCCCTTGCAAGAATCAGCACATTTCTGCCATTTTTTTTTTGTCTTATATAAAATTAACCAAAAGTAGTAGCAGATTAGATTTCTGATCAACTAATCTGTATTTTCACTGTGGCTCCAAAAAACCCTTCACCTGATGTGGACACTAGAGATCTAGCTTTCTGTATTGCTAGAGAGAAAAATTGGGCGACTAATAGAATCATTAAGATTGTTTTGTTGGTAACAACTAATGTCTGAACCAAAATTGTGCCACACCGTGTAGTACATGTTTGAATGTTTCACTGGATACGTAAGAGATTTAATCTGTTGGGAGAGCTACATGAAATGTCAAAGGATCACTGAATGTGACTGGCTTACGGCCTGACATCAACATTACTGTGCCATAAAACTAGGATGGAAAAAAAAGTGAGATCTATTTGGAAAAACTCAGCAACGTCAGTCATTAGGACTGCACCAGTGAGGATAGATTCCATTTAATCTAATGATTTCTCACAGAATTTGGTTTGGATTTTGAGCACATGATTGAGAACGGACAAAAATCAGCAAAAACACGATATCACTCATTTCATGGAGGACCAAATCCCCCACAACAACAAAAAAAGAAAAGTGGGGTTTCAGGCCCTTTACAATTTTGTGCTGTGTCAGCACCTGACTTGTGCATCACTAATGAATCGACGCGAGAACAAAGACTTTCTGGTATAATAAGCAGCAGCAATAGCTGAACAGCCAGGTGGAAAAATTCTTTGGTTTTCTTTTGGGTTCATGGAAACTAGAGCGCCTAAGTGTAAAGGAAAGTAGAAATCTTCTTATGGCCATCGTGACAGATGGTTGGGCCTCCATTCACAACACTTTCCAGTCTGTTCCCTCAGACTGCCTCCCTTTACAACAAGGCTGAATACATTCTCCCTGCACAAGTACACAAGCTTTATTCGCACATTCCACTACTATCCAACTCTGTTTGAGTGGAAAAAACAGGCTTACATATTTACTCTGCCTGAACCTGAACTTCAGTTCAGTTTGGGACTATTGGTCACCGCCTCTACCGGAAAATAAACTTAACTATGGATGTACCAAAAAGAAGTACTCAGTATTCTTAAAAAAAAAAAAAAAAAAAAGTAAACAAAACTGGAAAGAAGATAAATGTTGTTAAAAATGAATTAAAAAAACTAACCAGATATCATCCTAAATAATGCTGAAACAGCATCAAAAGCTGTCCCAGGACACAAGAGACAAATCTCCCAGACACCCGAATTGAGGTCACCAAAATCAACCCAAATATTCAGATTCATTAGCATTTGCTTTGGTGGGGTAAGCTACTGTAATGCAGGCCCCCTGCTCTACAGTATAAAAGAATAATCAGATTATGTTAAGCAGAGATGATACACTACAGGCTAGAAACATGGGCAGTTCACTTCACACAACAGATGATCTTTAAGACTAAAATGCTTCGGATGTGCACGCACATCTACAGCGTGTAACTGTCTGGAAGTTCATCCATTGCTTTTGGCGCTTCTGTGATAAAGTATAAACTTAAAGCGACATACCAAGTACATTAGTTTAGGCCAGTCTTGGTAACTATGAGATCCGAGGCCACAGAGGACGGTTATTTGTGTTGATCAAGTTCATATGCTGTGCTTGACAGATTCAATATGTAGCCGCTTGGAGACAATGTTTCTTTCCTCTTTTTCCACTTTGTCACTCGGACAGCTATAGAAAAAAAAAATAATAATAAAAATCACGTATGCAAGCAAGCACAAATACACGTCGCGACAAGTTCTGCCTCCTGCCCGCCTCTGACAGCATCAATGGACCGCTGGGAGAAGATGACAGTCGCCAAAGATTGATGAGCCCGAGGCCAAAGGGTTCATCCCCCTCGACATCCTTAGGAAACACTTTGACTTGGCTTCCCTCGACTCCCACAAAACCCAGTGACAGCTGATACAGACTCTTTACTATGCACCCACGAATCCAAGTGACACCAGTGACACCACGCCTTCATACGTCTCAATTCAGGACTTCCTGAGTGGGTGTCAAGCCCGATTGTGCCCCCAGACAACGCCCTTGGTGACACCGTGGTCCGGAGAGGAAGTGGGATGTCATGGGTCAGTTTTTTTTTGTTTGTTTTTTTTTTAAATTGATGAGTGGACTTGAATGAGGACCAGGAAAAGCCAGCCTTTTTGAGACTCTTGAAGGCAGAACAAATTTATTAATAGAACTACTTTAGAAACCAAGCCGTTGGTAAACATACTGACAGGATCGGCTATTGAGCTCACCCAACTGTGACACCTGATTTTCCCTAGAGCTAATAGAAAGGTCCGAGCTGGAGCTTTTATCAGGATCTTATTACCAACCCATCTCCAATTCTCATACAAGGACCCTATTTTGTATATCACTGGTGAATATTTTAGGTATTTTCAACAAAAACCTCATCTGAAAGAAGTCTCTGAAAGAACAAAATCAGTCAGTAAAATCTCCATTTTAAATGAAAGTTAAAGCAGGCATCCAACTAGGGCGGCGATGTAGCTCAGTTGATAGAGCAGGCGCCCCTTGCAGTGGCGGCAGATTCGACGACCGATTCTAATGCCGTTTGGTGCACATCATCCCAAACTCTCTCCTATATCACTCCTGAGATGTCTTTTCTCTGGAGGGTTAAGCTTCTGACAAATCATTTGGGCGTTGAGCACATCTCTAACTGCTACACATGTTGCTGTTTTGTGAATGACATTTACAAAGCTTTTAGCCGGTCTCTGATAATGGTTTTTAACCCTTGATCCCCTGAGACTGACATGAATACAGACACATGAGCAACCTTGGCTGATACACAAAGAAAGAGATACACAGAGGACTGGGAAAAGGCCTCTCATCCTTATGACAGTGTGGTCCTTCCAGTAAGAGCCCCCCCCCCATCCCCACTTTGCAACACACTCATCTGTGCAGCGACCCTTACTGTCCATCTACAAACATCCCAAGTCTCTGACAGGCCTGGCAGCGTGCACCACCACAGGTGGGGGAGGGATGAAAAATGAGAGGGACAGAGGAAAACAAGGTTTGCTGAGAGAAGATAGTCGAGCGTGCAGATTCAGACCATGCTTAAACAGAAAGAAGAGAAAGGACAAAGAGGAGAACGAGGAGGAAGGAGTGGGAGGAGGATTCTCCTCATGGGAAACAAGAAGGGAACGGTTGCATAAAGAATCATGAACGTTTGAGTTTCAGGGCTCATGGAAAATGATGTTTTCCTTCTTGCTTTTGTTTTTCTTCTCTCCGGAAGGAGAAAACACACTCAGATTTTGACTCCAAAATGTGTTTTAGGCAAAACAAGATTTATTTATTCGTCGGGTTAGCACATTTTCATGCGATATAATTCTCCCCAGCATTTGGCACTTTGTCTGGATGTCCTACTTTTCTACATGATGCAATACAGGGAACCCTTGTGTAAATCATTTGGTAGGAATAAAAACATCTTGCACATTTAAATCCTGTATGGATGCATGGGCTCTGTTCTTTGCACACACAAACACGCAAAGGGATGTTTTCAAAAGGATTACGCAGGCTTGAATTTAACAGAAAGAATCCCCAACTTCAAGCTCTACAGAGCAAATCTGGCTTAAAGAAACTTTCCTCAGAGCATCCTGGTACATTAAAAAGAAAGGGCTAAACTCAAAAATCCTGTCAAAGAAACATGTTTATTTCTGGACAATGCGAGAGCACATCTGCTGGAAGATTATCAGCTCCTGAATCAAGAGCAACAAAAAGCATAGAGAACACTTATACAAAACTATTTTTAGAACAAATCTGAAGTTTGTACACTTCAGGGTCACATGCACTTTGTTGGAAATTGTCAGAAAATGTGAAATCAAAAGGGTTCTTTCTTGTTCTTGATGTTTCTGCAGACTAGCGTGTCTCTGGGAATGCCAACTGGAATGCATGAATCTACAGGAATGTCCACTGATATCCTGCTATGTGTAAATGTTTGCTCATGACTGAGCTAGGGAAAATAAGGGGGGTATTTGTATGCAAGTGTGTGTGTGTGAGAGAGAGAAAATAAGTGGCAGTCTTCTTCTGCTTTTGTATGAATCTTAAGTAGTCCCATGTTGAGGGAGGCTTTGTTTGCCGTCACCATCGGGGGGGCACGTCCTCCAACTTTTCCCCTCACTTCCCCTTTTGGCGTTACATTTATCATTCTTCTTCAGCGAACAATCATCCTACAACATGGACTAGCATCAGACACACAATAAAGTACCGCCCTCCCCCCCCCTCTTTGGTCCCTCTTTCTGGTTGCTGGGATACCTTTCATCCAATGGGACAGCTTGTCAACAACATCATCACTTACTTAGAAACTTTCTCTTCAGCTCACTTTGATTCGAAGCAGCGGAGGCTTATTAAAAAATACTGCTGCTTCTTCTCTCCTCAAATTAAAGTCTCTGGAAACTTGTTTTTTTTTATGCTGCATCCAAAACCCTTTAAAAGAAATTGAAGATTTAACGTCTGGTGCTGCAAAAATTGCAATGCTTCCTGAAGGGAACGGCTGAAGTGGTACAACCTTCTAATTTGCAAGAGAAATTCCACTCGGGGCAAATATAGCATTATCCGCTGTGCTTACAAACTAGATGCACGGTATTTTATGCTGACATTATAGACTGCTAATGTTAACTTGGAGAGCTACCCTGAGGCCTGATTCATAGAAAGACTGGGTGACTCACCAGACCTTTTCTTCCCTTTCTGCTCTCACAATCGTGGACAGGTGCATTAGCAATAAGTGGAGAGATGACGGAGGTTGACTAAGAGCCTACAAACACTGAATCACATCCACCTCATTTCCTCTGCCAAGGAACTTTTTCTAAGGGCGACATAACCTTTTACTGAGTCCTGCACAAGCATTCAGGATCGGCCATGATTCAGCACAGTATTCTGAAAACAACCCATGTCTTCTGTTTTGTTTCTGTTCAAACTTTTTTTCCTTCTACATCTGAAGCAGTTAAAGGTTTGGACTTGACCGCATTTGCACCTCTCTCTTTCAGCTGACCGCTTATTCCGCTTATTATGACCGCTGAAGGCAGATTATTTTGCTTACCGCACCCGAACTCCCCATCTTCTATAGATAAAAATCCAAAAGAAACACCAGGCGAAGAGACAATGGTGATGTTGACAAAAGAAACAAAAAGAGATAGGGTGCATAGAGAAATGAAAAAGGGGGAAGGGGGAAAGGAGGAACCAAAATAAAGAAAAAAAAAACAGGGGGAGAATACAGAAAAAGGAGCAAAAGGAGAGGTTGTACTGCAAAGGCGGAACCCCCTTTAAATGACTGTGTTTTGTCAGTGAAATAAAGAGCAGCTATCAGCAGCAGCAACATACCAGCACAGTGAACGAGAATGCAAATCAGCCCTGATGCAAATGTCATACGTCTTCAGGGGGCAAAACAGACTGTCTTTATACCGCCCCCACCCCTCCAAACATTACACACTTCTCTCTGTGCGATCAGAAATCCCCCATGATTCTCCTCTGAAACACAAACACTTCCAGGAGACAATCTTGCGCAGAGCAGGAGAAAAGTAATAACATCATCTTCTTACTTCACACTGAACAAAAGGCCCGAGTACAGTGGGCTCTTTACTCAAACACACACACACACACACACACACACACACACGCTTCTGAAAAGATCAATCACTTACTTGTCTGTCATGGCGTCGGCTAGCGAATACTGATTCATTAAAACTGCTTTTCGCTTTCTTCACCCAGTTGGAAACGGTTGAGGGAGAGGCCCAAGGTAAGAGTCACAACACCAGTCTGCAAGAGAGGGGAAATCAAGATGTATTTGAATTAAATCACAATTGGACACGACAATACAAGATCTCATGGAGATTATCTTTCAGTGCATTGTGACCTATTATAAAGGCTGAAAACAACAACCCTCATCTTTATTATTGAATCAGAGTGAGTGAAAAATGCCTGCCATAGCCCAAAGTGACATATTCAAGAAGGGTTGTCACGATACCAGATTTGAAAACCTTCATAGGATTCTAGGACAAATCAAACAATATCAATTGTAAGTTAATACCTTTTCTGTTTACAAGAAATCAGTGGATCTCATCTGGTCTAGCCTCAGGACCCACCACCAACACTTTCTTTAAAAATCACGACCAAAATTTTCTGATAATTTTCCTCCAATCAGATTTATACAATGAAAAACAGAGCAGTTTGGAGCTCAGACGGTACAAAACATGAGACAGAACAAAAAAAAAAAATCATGTTTAAAAGTGCTTCATAGACTTTATGACACAATTTTCCTCCAGGTAGACGTTTGCGACCCGCTAATGGGTCCTGACCCACCAGTTGAGAACCACGGCTCTATATTATCTAAGAGTGTTTATAAATGGGGATTCCAGTCCCAATGTTATGTACTTTTATAATTATATGCACATTCTTTTGTCTAACATGTATGTAGGTCAGGCAACTAGACAATTCACTGCTTTTGATGAGCAACAAAAGATGAGAGCTAATCAGTTCTATTGTGACTGCAACTGCACATCAGCTAGGACCCCCCCCCCCCCAAAAAAAAAAAAAAAAGAGGAAAGGAAAACCCAGCAAACAGGCCTTGGTCCAGACTGGGACTGCAGCGAACTTTGCAGTCATGCTTCACTAGCTCACAATTAGCCCGAGCAAGGCCCAGGTCTCCTTTAACTTTCTGTGGGATACTGTTACCATAGTTACCAAGGCAGCCAACCAGCAAGCATAAATAGGAGTGCACCAAGAAATCCTCTGGGTAGCAAGGAGACAGTGTTCAACCAAAAGCACAGATTAAGAATGCATTGTTTGTGATTAAGGAGCAATCATGACATTTTCACATCAGTACAGCTGCGCTTCATGCAGCGTAGAATACACATTTAACAAATGCAATACCTTGCAGGAATCTAAATACACCACCCTGATAAGCATGCGTGTTTGGGGATGCACATAAATCAGCAGATGTTCACTGTCAGCATCCTGATTTTTCAATTTTAATGAGGAGCCGAGATAAGTCACATCCTGTGTCCTGCTGGGTGACGACCAATCTCCCAAACCCTTGAGATTATCTGCCTTTAAACGATTACCAAAGCAGCACATTACTTTCAAAGATTATACCCTCTAATGTGTTAACACACTGGCAACACATAGATCTGACTTTCCAGAGAGGGATTTAGGCTCCATAAGCAGATGAAGGTTAAACAGCATTTCGCTGAACGTCAAGTAAACATAAATGGACCTGAAGCAGGAAACGAAAGCTGTAAAATCATGTGATTTACCTCTAAATCACATCAATTTATTAATCCAAAACTGATTAACTAAAGACTACTTAATAGTTTTATAACTGTCAGCCTAGATTGAAGGGAACCACAGGGGTGAAGGAAGGCTCTCAACTCCGCCCAACCCTATCAGCATCAATCGCAGACAGACAGCCTCTGAGGCAGCCAGCGACAGTCTGTCTGCTGATGTGCCCCCCTTTTCCCTGCTTTCCTTTCACCGTATCCACACATCATCCCCGAATTCTGAACTTTCTGCTTTAAAGCACCCATCATATTTCCTGTTGCTGCACCTCTTGCGCACCTGTTTCTTTCATTTCCTGCCTAATAGCAGCTCATTGATCTTATTTATGCGCCTGTCCACAGTACTGTACAGAAACATGCATTAGCTGTATACACCCAAGTAATCTCCTGTAATCACTTTAGTTCCATTTCCTCGGGTCTCTCAGCCTCTGTGTTTGAGGGAAATGTTTTAGAAGGAGAAAAACTGTTCTACTGAATTAATTGATGCAATAATTAATGGATTGATGGTGCAGGGTTATCTGCAGAGCATTCTGTCTTTGCAGAGATAAAAAAAAAAAAAGAATAGAGAAGAATGCAAAGGATATGTCCCAGCATTGCTTTTAGAAAGGCCTACAACTCGATTTCCAAATGACATTTGACCAGATTACTGAATTTTTGCAAGAGTATGTGCTATGCACAATGTGGCAATCCAGAAAAGTATGAGAGCTTTATGGAAAACATCCCTTCTGCTGTGATGATGTATGTTTTCCTGCAAAGCAAGGGTTTTTTTTTTTTTTTAACCACAAGCCAAAATATAACTCCTGCCTTCTCAAGTACAACATGATACAGTGCTTGTATACTGTGCTCAACAGGAAATACATCTGCAACACAGTGTTTATTACCAGTGCACAGTGAGATACACACTCAGACCTGGAAGAACAGGGCTCTTTGGCTTAAACCAATAGCACTTGAAAATATACATCAGAAATCTCTGATATACCTGAACACAACATTCACAGACAATTAAAGAAGCCAAAAGTGTTTCTCTGCCCAGTTAAGGATAGAAAACCTGTGGCATGCTTAAGGAAATCGGACATGTCCACACTGGGAGAGCAACGCCCTTTCTTCCCCTCTCTCAAGTGAGATTTATAAACTCCTGACAACAGCCAGCAAGAGGAGGACTAACTCTTCAACATCTAAAGCTGGGCGTACAGTGCGATTCTTTTTCATCTTGAATGTAGTGTTAAATCACACTGCATGTCTTAATCAGTCCCTGTTGGTTTTGTCTAGAGGGAATTCTGATAAAGTTTATCAAAACAACATGGCTTCATCCTCGATGGCGACAAAAAAAAAAAAGAAAGAAAGGTCTGCTTCCTGCAATCATGGACAAACAAATGAAGAACAAAGAAAACCGTGTGGGAGATTTGGACTATTTCATCCATCAGTTCTGCAGCAAAGTTGTGTATTTTAGCACGGCAGTGTTAAGACTACAGATAAAACATTGGCATGAAAGATGCTACCTCAGTATCATCAAACACATCTCTAAAAAACAAGCTAGAACAAATATTTGAGCGTGAGCAGAATCGACCTCAGCACCAGCAGCATTTGACAGAAAACAAACTGAGTATGCAAATATGCCAGAAATCCAATCTATTACAGACAAACACGATTAAAGAAGCAACTGTTAAGGTGTCATGGCCTCTAAAAACAGAATTTAATCAGCTACCTTTTCAAGTTAACCAGTTTTGCATATTGCCTTATCCTGAACAGCATGAGCAAATTTCTTTTACAGAGCATCAGACAACACAGAAAATAATACAAATGCTGCCCTTTTCTCTGTAAACATCTTCAATTTAAGCTTGTATAGGAAAAGTAGAGCCTTTCTAGAGAACTGTGTGGGTTTTAACTCAAATAAGGCACAGCAGAGTCCCACTCACTGCATCATGAAAACACTGAATTATTCACCTCCCAGTTGCAATTCAGGGTAAAAATAGCATGCACAGTACTGGAGACTATCCACTGCCCCGAGTAAACATCAAAACAAATCTGATCACTGAAGCAGAGGAGAAAGGTGTTGACATTGCGAGATGCCAGCAGTCAACACACTGTCCACACACACACACAGGCTTGTCTGCGACGTGAACCTTACCATAATCTGAGAAGGAAGATCCTGCAGGTTGAGAGAGGAGACCCCTGCTTAGTCACAGTGTTTTTTACTGGGAAAGTCACCGAAAAGGTTTGTATGACAGATGGAAAAAATAAATAAATAGAAAACGATCTTCCAGCGCGACTAGTCTGTCATCTCCTCCTTCCGTGCTCCCCCGGCGGTCATGCTTCTTCTCTCACACTCCCTCCTTCTGTCTACCTCTGTGTGTCTCTCTCTCTCTCTCTCTCTCTCTCTCTCTCACACTCTCTCCTTTCTTGCTCGATAAACACTAAAAAGACGAGCACAAGAGGCTGCAAACGGTGGAGAGAAAATGCTTGCATCAGCGGTCTGGGGTTACTTTAAAAGCGTGACAGCGGAAGACTCTGTCTCCGTACGAGTCTGTAACAAAAAAAACAGCAAGCAATGCCTGTCCCTCACTACCACAGCAGTCAATTGCGGCTTGCCGGTGGACAGCGACAGCGCAGGGATCGCGCCTCTGGAAAGCGTCAATGCACACAATTGCTGAGGAGGGGGAGGGGGAATTTTGGGGTAGCGGGTGAGTGGAGGGAAGAGGGGGGAAGGGGGCTAAGGTTAGGGTACTGTGCATGTGGGTGTGTGGGAGTGTGTCTATTGTCGCTGGGTTGTTTCCCCCCCCCTTCCTTCTCTTTTAAGGAGTGAAAGGAGACTTCAGGTCCAGCTGCTCAGCACTGTATTTATCAGTGTGTGATGTGCCCACAGTTAAGTTTCTTTTTTTCTTCTAATGTTGCCATAGAGCATTGCTAAAGTCTGCAATAAATCACATTTTCATTAAGTTAATAACATTGAGCTGAGCAGCAGTACGTTTATTTTACACCAGGATGATACATTTCCCAGGGATACATGGATCACATGCGGCCCCAACTTTCCGGAGATGAACAGACAAAATGATGGATCGACCGTGATCTGTTGCACCACATGGAATTTGATACAAATAGCAATTTGACATAACAGAAATATTACTGACAAGGTCTTCGCTATAGTGAATTAAAGCTATGATGATGATGAATGCATTTTTTTACACAATTAACTTTATAAAAAGGGATATGTATCATAATCATACATTGTGTGCTCAGCTGTGATGCTCTGCAGGAGGTGCTGCACACAGTGCCACGAGTTTTGTAAACCTAAAAAGAGTCAAGAGCATGGTCAACTTAAACTATCATTTCTAAAGTATTGCTTACTGCACTGCATTTCCAGCAAAACAAGTTTTCATGTTAAAACGTATACGATGCAGATATATCCGTGATTGGCCGACAAAACATGCTGGCAGATCTATCAAGGTCAGACCCTTCTGGTAATATAAATTACATTGTTTAATATTAAAATGGAGTTGCAAATATCAGTCACAAATTTATGATTTTGTATCAGTATGTCTTTCTTTAAATATTTCAACAAAAATGATTCAAACTGCAACCTTCAGGAAGGACGTTTTTGTTTCAGTGACCCTGCTGTACTAGCAACACATCTACACAGCAACACACACTTAACTGCCAAGACAGTTTACACCCTCAGGGAACGGATCATGGTGTTGGGACTTATTTCTCACTATGCAAACATTGAACCGATCCAACAGCAAGCAAATGAAAGAATACTGATTAAAGTTGCAGTTATCCAACATCCTGATATGCAAAACTATCCCAGAGTCGCTTTTCACCACTGACATGCTAAATTACAGTTGAAAGTCGAAGAAATAAAAGACAGCACCTTGTGCGTTCAGCGGTGTCACACAGTGATATCTCTGCACAGTAACAGAATGTACTGTATGTAGTCTCGCTCCACACTCCATTCCCTTCCAGCTCCCTGCTCTCAGCCGCACAACACTGGGAACCTTTTCAAAACATCAAGTAAGCTGTCAATAGCAGCGCTGCGGCGGCGCATCGGCAAGCTTCCTGCACTCTCAGCAGAAGAATAGGAGCGGGTGCAGCATCTTGGGAATCTTGATGGATTTCCTGTACAGTATTCATAAAAGTAGTTATTGCCAGCACTTCAAAAAAAACAAATAGCATGCTTCGACCAGAGCTTCTTTTGATCAATGAAAACAAAAAAAGCAATAAAGCCTCAAAAAGGGTGTGGACTTCTCTTCACCTTTATTGTTACCTAACACATGAAGCAGAGGAAAAACAGGAAACCAAGCTTAACGTTCAGTGTTTTCTGATTTGAAAAACACCATTCAAACACGAGACAATTTTGCTGAGACATTTCTGGAATGCACCGATGCATTATGCATGGCCAGTAACGCATAAAGTGCCAACACATGCCACTGTCTGCTGCTGAGACACAGCCAGATGCTGCTCCCGTCTTCGCCAATAGGAAATTATTCCAGCCTGAGGGTGTTGGGGTTCTACTAGGGTGTGGCGGGGGGGGGGGTTTGTGTTGTGGGATTCAGACCGAGGTGGGGGTTGCGGCCCCAGATGTCCGTTTCTAAGAGCATACGCAGCACACCTCAACATCAGAGCAGGACAGGCCCGACCTCTAACCTCTACCCTTTAACTCCTGCAGGACCAAAACAATGAGGCGGCTGCAAGTCGTACATCACACTCGCCTACCTTGTTTCCTAAAACCATGACATCCAATAGGGACAGCTCCCATCGGTTATATTCTAAACCGCCCCTCCCACAAGAGGACATTTGAATATCTGCAATACACAGCGAAGTGCATTAAAACTGACATATATGCTGCACCTAGCTAACAACACTGGAGCTTAGCATGTCAGAGGATTACATTATCGCTTCATTTCTAACAGATAATATATATAATTATATATATATCAATCCTTCAGTTCCCAGTGATTCCTTCAGATGTCTTGGGCTGTTTTCTCACATGCAGACTTACAACTTACTTTTTACCCAACTTAGCCCAGATTTGTTCCTGCCAGCCGCCTAGTTTTTCTGTTAGATACAATGTTGTTAGGTCTTCCCTACACATGTTAGCTTGTAGGCATTTTCCCCCAGTGTTGGGTATGATTTTATAATGATGCGAGACAATCGTTCTTGCTGCCTCGACTTGCCAGGATATACCCAATGATAAGATTGCTAATTGGAAGGAGGGAACAATAAGGAGGCGTGTCCTTGTTAAAGAAATAGCACTTTTTACAGCGACCTCACAGTAGGAGGTGGAACGCCACAGGCCAGACAATTAGCAGGTAATTCAGCCTTATCTGCCAGAGGAAGAGGCTGACGACCAAACCCAGCAGAGGGGGGGGGGTAAGAAGAAAGCCTCTGATGGCTTGTGAATGGTCGCCCTCGAATCCATTACAGTGGTTATTCAATTACCTGACAGTCGCTCACTGTGTGCACGTAAAGAAACGTGAAGTCCTTTAAAATGGGGTCTTCTTGAAGGTGGCAGAATAATTGCATTTGGATTTTACAGACGAAGGGTATATGCAACACTGGCTACCCTCCAGTAAGAAACCAATTTCGACACACTAACTTTTTACAAGACACAAATTTGACAAACAGCCCAGGCTTGTTCTGAAACCCAAACAAGGCATCCAAGTAAATATCCCCTGACATCCAGAGCAAGTGCCATTTCTGCACAAAGTTCATGTTTGACACAAAGCTCTCTTTAAGACATGCAGACATGCAGACTGAATGACCATTTCCCACCAATTTAAAACAGATCATTGATTCGGGGTAAAAAAAAAAAAGGACTCTAAAGACAAGCTTGTGTGCGGTTATCTTTCACAAGCAAGAGCGTTCAGGCTGATTTCATTTAGCACATGTGAATCCCATGCTTCCAATGAATGTGGGGAAAAAAGACAAAGAACGTCTTGAAGGGAGCTCAGTCACCCAGCTGATAAAACTGAGACAAATGTAGACAAAAATGTGACAAAAATAGACTAATTAGCCTCAAGTAAACTTGAGAGCCCATGAAAGCGTCATGTGCTCAGAGATTTGTATACTTCAATACTTATGTAATTTCAATGGCTACACCAGGATCAAAAAGGAAGAAAAGACTGCCTTACAACACACACAACCTCTAACCTGAGGGAAAGTCAGCGGCATGCAGCCTGTGGTTTAATGATTTGTCTGCAGCTGGTGAATGATCACACAGCAATATCCTGTTAAAGCCAGTTCTCCAGCCCCCCCCCCCCCCCCCCCTCGAGGGTCTGACTGACATGATTCTGGCCTACCCCGGTGACACTGAAGCGCCAGCCAGCGATCATATTGACAAGACCAGAGTGGCCGCCGCCCCCCGTGCCTTGTATGACCCAGCCAAGGACCTGTAGAATCAAACTCGATGAGGCAGAAGAATGACTTATTGAGGCCGCTGGGGAAGGGATGTCACAGCCCGGGCAGTTTGGTGGAGCGCTGAGCGAAGCGGAGGGGAGAGGCGGGACGGGGCAGTTAATGTCGCTAACGAAAGCTGTGGAAAACAAATTTAGAAAACACAACAGCTGGGTTTTGGGACAAGCCCAATGGCTGGCATGTTCAGAAATTCCAAAGTAATCATGCAATGTAAACTACGTCTGTATGTAATGTGAGGGGCGTTTACTCTTCTGTGAGGAGTATCAATGATCCATGAATTTACTTAACCTCCCTTTATGACAAGTGCAAGAGCAGGTGGGAAACTTCTACTTTTATGATCGTTTTCACAATCAAATAAATTGTATTCTGTTTATCCCAGGTCATGTCCTCAACTGCTTTCTCACACACAGAAATCCTTTTTGCTTGAGTGTTTACAAGAAAAAATCATCTCCAATGTGCGAACACACACATTTTTCACATTTTTCACAAGACATAACAACTGACCAATAGGCTTTTTAAAAAATAGGTGCAAAGTTTTAGCCCAACATCAAACTTAAACTTGAAAATCACCTTGGACTAATAATAAATATTTTGCTAATATGAAACAATTTCATAGATCGACAGAAATTATCTTTTTAAAATGCAAAGCTGTATGCGGTTCAACTGTGAACATTATCTTTTCATTCTGCTCTGTTTGGACAAAATGATCGAGACGTTTGACAAGATTTAACATTCTGTGACTTTTTAAATGGACCAAACCTTAAATTGACCGAGAAACTAGTCATCAGATTGATCAGTGGTTTAAAACAGCAAATACACGTGGCAACCAATCGGTTTATAAGTTTGCGATATAAGTGTATGAGGAAACTCTTGGGATTTGAGGAGCTTGACTAAACAAACAGCTTGGATTATAACCTCATATTGGTGTTCAAAACAGTAGCAGGTTAATAGTCTGTTTATATGCAAACCAATGATGGGACCGCAGCTCTCATCTGAAGCTTACACAGAATAAATGAAGCCCTTTGAAGGCTTTGTCTGCATTTCACTTTTAAAAAAAAAAAAGGTAAGAAGGCCAAGAGAAGAGAAGGACTACGGTGATGATAGTGTGGTTTGAATTATACTGCACGGAGCCAAGAGAGCCACTAACAGAGCCAAGAGTTCAGTTAGCCAGGCCAGAGGGCAAATTGTGAGACAGAAAGCAGCTCCATAACTCCTTATTACTCCCTCCGGTCCACACAAGACAAACTAAGACTAGACAAGCATGCAGGTGAAAGGTTTATGAGCATCCTCTGATGAGCTCCAGCCGCACTACACTGCCCTCCTGTCCTGGCACAAGTCATTCTCCAGGCTGAAGAACTCCAAAAAAAAAAAAAAACACACACCCTAAGAGGCAAAACAGTGCACGCTGCAGGTCTGTATGCTCCATCCAGCCTTCATATAAACGGTGGTTACGTGTCAATAAAAACGCCTTTGTTGTTGCAGTGAAAGAGCACCCTTGATTTATGCATGCCAAGGGTAGAAACCCCTCAATGACCTCCGGGTGCCAGAATGGCATTTTGAAAGTGCAAGGCGAGTTTAATCTTTAAAAAGATTGGTGTGAGCACGGGCTGGTGAACCAGTAATATTATATTCACGTGTTCTGCAGCCGCTTCAAGGACAAGACAGCGACTGCAGGCACACAGTCGTCCGCTTACATCTTCATTTTGTTCCCCCCTTTTCGGAGTGAAAACATCGCGTCACAGTAATTAAAACGTTTAAATGAGCCAACCAAGGCGTGGAGAAAGTGTAAGCGAACATTGTGTGCGAAATGAAATACGTTTAAAACAAAGCAAATATGTCTTTCTTTCTTTTCTTGGCGTAGTGGGAGTTTAGACTTCAGTGCAACAAGTGCAGCTGAGCTTCAAGTCCGCGACAGCACGCATGAACACGACCAGCAGGGACACACGCAGTCTGAAATAACTTAGCAAAAAAAAAAAAAAAAAGTCCCGATAATGCTTTCAAAAAGAAAGTAGAGGTTATATAATTTAGCACCCAAGTTAAACCGTGTTGTTTACTCACCGTGGGGACGTTTTTTCCCTCTTTGGCCCGGTGTGTACGGAGATGAGCGTACGTCGTTGCAGGAGCAGCAGCAGCGTGACAAAGTTTGGTTAGTGGCTCTCTCTCTCTCTCTCTCTCTCTCTCTCTCTCTCTCTCTCTCTCTCTCTCTCAGCTCAGCATGGCGGCTGGGGCCAGGGACTGGATTCAAACCTCTCCGGGCTGTGATATCAACAGACAGGGGGGGGGAGCAGTGTGCAAGGGGGGGAGGCGACGGCAAGTGAAAGACCAGAAGTGGAAGAAGTAGCTCAGACTTTGAACTCTATTTTTTAAGCATCAATATTGCAAAGTAAAAAAAAAAAAAAAAAAAAAAAGATAATAAAAACAACAAACAAATGTTATAGGAAAAGTCACACGTAAAACTTCACGTGCAAGTAAAAACATTCAGATTTAATAACTGTGGCTGGATGCCCTAATTTAAGACGTGTTATCTTAATAAGGATGAAATTATATTTTTGTTATTTATTAGAATCTGCTTAGCTACATCTAAAGTCAATAAATAAATGTGTTGCAAAAAAATGCAAAAGTACAAATCTGAAATGCATTGGAGCAGAGGTATAAGGAAGCACACAAACGAAATGCTCATGTTATGCACAAGTAGCCTACCTATGAATTATCCTTGCAACAATCCATGCAATGAATTACTTAATACCCCTAAAGAGACCCACATATCTTTAAAAAAAAAAAAAAAAAATAGTCTCTTTAGGCAGCTTCAACCTGGACTGAATCATTTTTTTCTTCCCTCTTAATAATATACTTGCTTATACTTTTCTTAGACAATCCATTTGATAAAGCTTGTATGATGTCAAAAGGGAGGGAATTATGAATTATTTGTGATCTACCTAGTAGTATTTTAAAGTTTTTGAATTAATAACACAACATACTATAAGCTACATTCATCCAAAATTGGGCCTCCTGCACAATGAGGCATTCAAATGTCTGACTTCTACTCTTAAAAGTGTGATGCATTAATATAGAAACCTTCAAACACAGGCCTATATAAGCCTATGTACAGTTAAGATAAGTTGTTGAAGTCACCTCTTCTTTCATTCGATTACAAAATCTAAACATTGTTATTGTGAAAGTATATTAACAGAAAAGTCATGCACATTGCTCTTGACTTTTCCTTGCTTATATTTTAAATGCAGTTCTTCTTGTGGAGTATTTATACATTGTGGGGATGATTCTTCCACCATCAACAAACCATAGATTTGTGTTAAAGCAGGACTTCAATGCACAAAAAAACGGACACCTTTTTAGTTGTTTTAGTTCGACAAAATATCAGTTTAACCCCTAAACAACATACCGTAAGTGCAATCCTCCAATGCCAACTCCTTGTCAGCCCACAAATTTCCAGCAATGTGACGGAGGTTATGACCTTTCTGTCCTCTGTGGTGCCTGTACAGCCCAGTTGTAGAGTTAGTTACCTCTAATACTGACTACAAGGTCTCGTTTAGGTGAGGCCAGTGGGTTGAAAAGGTCACTGCTGGAGGTCAGAGTTTACATAACATTTTGCTAAAGGAGAAGTGAATCAAAAACACAGTGGAGGAAAGACAGGCTGAGCCTTGTCTCATTGTGCAGGCCAGAGGAGGAGGGAGAGGGGGCTTTCCACGGCACTGCGGGGCGAATACAATACCATCTTTGAGTGAAAGACAGATTGCTGCTGCTGGTGGAAAATAGAATAGCATTTCAGTCTACCTCTGTGGCTGCTTTGTGGGTTCACCAAGAAACGACTGTCGAGAAATTACCTGCCCACTTGAGCAGCAATAAGTCTATAATTTCCCTTTTCTTCATTAAGGAAGATGTATGCCGCATTCCTAAACATGACAATACTTCCAGGTATCATTGGCTATACTACAAATTGTTTATTTTCATGTGGGCCTCTGGTGATCTGAGAGCTTAGAGTTGAAGGCTGGCTGGAGTTAAAAGGGGACGCTAAGTGCTGCCTGAAATGAATACGAAAAGCAGCTGGGTTTATCTTCACTCACGCTTTGACATGTGCTGCTAAGAGAAAACAGGTGACCGAGGAATGTGCGCTGAAACCCAAACGTAATACTGGAGCTCAAATGATTTGTAGCCACTTAGGCAGTTCTTCCTTTTAAAAGATATATTTATTGCAATTATATGATGTCTTTATGATGAATTTCTTCCTTTTTGTAAGTTTCTCTCGTCTTGTGTGTCCCTTGCTCTTATTTTGTCTCTCTGCATGGGCACAGTCTGTATAAAAATGACATTTAAAGGTGTAATCGAGTCATTTTCAAAGAGGGAGGACAAACAGACAGACACAGAGGAGGTAATTTGAATGCTGCTCCTGATAAATGTATCAACTGAAGACCAAAATGTAAAATGAATAGGGGCAGAAAGTTTCTCTCTCTCTCTCTCTTATACACACACACACACACAATAGACAAGAAGGTAATAGAGTAAGGTGTGGATTTCAAGTGTAAGTATATATGAGCTTCATGCCTTAGCTCTTCAGACACAGCAGTTGGATATATTTAGAGTCCCTAGCTGTGTGTATCTATGCTACAAGGCAGACCACAATTATTCACAACACTGAAAGAGCCACCACTGGTCTGAGATCAGTCAAGAGGAGAGTGTGTATGTGTTTGTGTTCACTGGTACGAGGACAGGATTTACAGTTGAATGGTCAGAGGTCATGGACCAGTCATATAAAAAAGTAAATGCGGTTAACCCCTGAGTTAAGACAAATTACCCTTTTAGAGACTTTCACTCCAAAGTCGTCAAAGTTTTAATACACAGATACTTCTGTGGCTCATAATTACCAGGATAAGTTCAACATTGAAAAAGAAGTAAAGTCTTACTGCCAATAAAGGGTTAAAGAGGGGTGTCTTAAAGGCTGTCAGTGATGCCCTAACATTCATATAAGGCCTGTCACCTAAAAATGTCTTCCCTGTTTTCCAAAACTGAAGTATAGTGTAATGAGCAGAACCGCCACAACTAACAACAAGACAGGAAATTGGCGCAGAATTATTATTACTGTTGTTGAGCAGCTACCTTGAATGTGATTAAATACAGGCAGTTCAAGTTATACACGAGAAAAGCCTTATTCAACAAATAATTGTATACCTTTACTGACAGAGGTGGCAGCTTTTTCTTGTGTTGCCTCACCTTCTTTGCGCTGACATGCATGAGTCATGACACATTTCATATTTAACCTAGATTATTTATTAGCTTACATATTTCCCCACAAAACAAGTTAGTTTAATACATAAACTTTTGCCAGCTTTTATGGCTTTGGGGAAATTAAAGGTGGACTTACACCCTTGTAAAGAAGCAGGAGACTGCCATCTAGCGGAGATGACGAACACACTCATTTAAAGAACCGTCAGGTAGGTTACCCTCTCACTTGTCCTGAATCTACTTCAGGTTCAATTAAAAAAAAAAAAGTTTTTGCTTCCGTGAAATCTTTTTATATTATGTCATATTATAATTTTTTTAAGAAGCTGCAATAGGGGAATTTGGTCTGATTTCAATGGCAATCCCACCTTGCAAACTCAAGAAAGTAATTAATTGCGCCCCCCGGTGGTCAAGTGGAGTTGGTACAGTTCCCTTAAGTGCAATGTTTTCTTTCTGCGATATTACTGAACTCGAGGGGCATCAGGGGGGGTTAGGGAAACCTACCTGACTGGGACCATACATGAGACCTCTTTGGCAAAGCACTGCCTACTGACCTGCCTGCAGAGGGACCAGTAGATAAAGATCATAGACTGTAAATATTAAGATATTGTGCTTGTGTGTATATTTCAGTGTGTGTGTTGCATGATTACAGAGTGTAAAAAACTGAATTTCCCCTTGTGGGAATCAATAAAGTAAATCTTAATCTTAAATAGGCTAGGATAGGATAGGATAATACTTTATTGATCCCCAGAGGGGAAATTCGGGTGTTACAGCAGCACAGACAAGAAAGCTAAAAAATACACATTAAACAGAATAGATAAGATAAATAAAAATAAAAATAAAAATAAAAATAAAAATAAAAATAAAAATAAAAATAAAAATAAAAAATAAAAAATAAAAAAATAAAAAATAATAATAAAAAATAAAAATAAAAACAGGGGGTATATACAGTACAAAATAAATGATGAAGTTAACTGAGGGGAATTGAGACAGTAAATCTTAATCTTAATAAAGATTAAAATGTAACCCTGCCTATGCTCCTCGATTGATGTCAGACATTGTCTACACGTGGCTAAATCTGGAGTATAATCATTTCTGAATACCTCACCAGTACACGACTTGTCTTATTTTATCTGCTTCATGGATTTAGCTGAAGCAGGAAAATTAAAATCCAGGGATGTATAAAAGCTTGTTTCTGAGGGGCGGGGCTTACAGCTCCATGCTCCAATCACTCGTTCCGATGCTTACCACGTGCCTCACCTTGCCCAATAGTGAGCCGCGGATTATCCAGTTCACCCTGAGTTTGCCGCACCCAAAGGTGGATGACGGTGAAATGGGGCGGAGCGACCCAGCGACGAAAAGGGACAGGGAGATAAACCCACTGTGAAACCACCAGGGTCGGGGATAAAAAACAGAGGAAAACCCGCACGTCCTGCGTTCGCCCTAGCGCCGTTTTATAAACCAAACACGTCATCGAAAAAGAGGGTAAGCGCTGAAATAATAATATTTTATTTTGCATCATATCTTTTTATCTCCCCACGTACAGTAAGACACATGTGGGGGGGTTATTTGATTGTTTTGTGCCCTGTGGTGCCTCTGGTTGTGTTGCTGTATGGCGAGCTCTCACGTTGCGGAGTCTGCAAAGAGGAGGCGTTGTGTGTTGCTTTACTGCATATCAAACGACTATTTTTTTGTTGTTGCTTTTTTTTTTTGGTGTGATTAAATGAACGCAACCTCCGCCCAGACGGTTTCCTGTGTTGAACAACAACAACATTTGCAGCCCAGGTTTTGGCCCCAACTATGGTTAGCCTGCTACCGAGTGAGCAGGCCTGTGCATGCATTATTATGCACTTCCCCAGGCGCTCAGTTGCTGGAGCTTTCTTTTTTTTTATTTCTTTTTTTTTTTTTAATATTTAAACG